CTATACAACAAACCTATTCCATAAAAGGTAATTATGTGTGTCTCTCTTCCTTGATGAGCCTAGTCATGATATCTAAATATATTTTTGAGTCTGGATTTTAGATTCTAGAAGCCATAATAACAAGCAAACCCTTCATTAACAAAATGATATGATTGTGGTAATTTAGAATACAAAACCCGTTTGGGCTGGTCTTGTAGTATGAGGTGAATCTATAAAAAGTAGTACACAGAAACAAGCTTAACTGCAGGACTGCATTACTAATAAGCAACAGTGAGGCACCACTAAAAGATGTGTGATTGTCAGGAGAACTAAAGGCTCAGTATTTTCACAGGATAATTCTACCAACATTTAAAGGTCAGATAATTTCACTATTGTGTACTTAAGCTATCCTGGAACATGCAAAAAGTTATGAAGCACAAAACTGACAATGGTTGTACAAAAATAAAAATATCACTCAACCTCACTAATATTGATATAACACTAACCAAAATATTAGCAAAGATAATCCAAAAACACATTGAAAAAGAACATCATGACCAATAAGATGCAAGTGTTCCAGTAGTCAAAGATCTCTGAAAATAATTATAAAGCTATGAAGAAAACTAATAAACTCATCTCCCTAGACAGTGAAAAGATATCTGACAAAATTAAACTCTTAGATAACATTTAAGAGAACTGAAATGATGATAACTTAGAGAAATTTCTTTTTTGCCAAAAAAGTCAATCAAATCCTTAATATTAAATATTGAAACGGCAAAGTTTTAAAAAAATCCTAAAAATATAATAGATATAAGGTATAAGAACATGAGATACTAGTATAATGGAGTAGTTATTTTTGAAAGGTCAATGCCTGACATTAAGAGCTATTATGCTTTTATGGTTTCCAAGAGTATGCGTCATATATTGCAAACAATTAGTATACTATAATTGCTCCAATGGTGAAGTTTATTTATTTTTTTTGAGTCAGGGTCTCACTGTTGCCCAGGACAGAATGCAGTGGTGCAGTCACAGCTCACCATAGCCTCTACCTCCTGGGTTCAGGAGATTCTTCTACCTCAGTCTTCTGAGTAGCTGGGGCTGCAGGTACATGCCACCACACCTGGCTCATTTTTTGATTTTTTTTGTAGAGTCGAGGCTTTGTTATGTTGCCCAGGTTGCTCTTGAACTCGTGGGCTCAAGCAATCCTTCTACCTCAGCCTCCCAAGGGCTGAGGTTACAAGTGTGAGCCACTGTGCCCGGCCTGAATGGTGAGGTATTAAAAAGCTGTTAGATGTCATCTCTTTTGTTTGGCTGAACCTGCTGCAAGTGGGTAATAAAATTATTCAATGTTATATGAAAATAATTCCAAACCACTATAAAAAGTATCTGTGTGTGGGTATCACATCTTACAGATGTTTGGTAATACATGAACAAACAGAACCCCAATCTTTTTTCTTTCATCTATGAAAACTCATTTGGAGAACCACTCTTTTTCAGAGTGTGCAAACTCTCTTATTTGCTTACAATGCCTCCTTTATTATCCCCCCCTTCAGCCACCCCCTGCCCCAGAACTCAGTCATGCTTTTCTGTGATATTTTCTAGGCTGAAGGCAGTAAGATTTCTTAAATTAGGACATCAGAAATTCCAATTCTACAGTAACCTGGGTGGTTAATGCTTTAATTTCCATAAAACAGTTAAAATTCACTTCACATAGGCAGGAGGAGAAAAGGAAATGACATCAGAGGTGCTTAGCTACAGATGAGAGGAATCGCAGCTGTGGCCTCCCCATTCATCAGGTAGAAGATTTATCTAGTTCTACCACTTCTGTGATAGAGCAGACTTTGTAAAGAAGGCTCTCTTAGAAAATTCAGGACAGTGAACAGAAACTGTCAGATTGACTTTTCTTCAAGAAATTATACTTAGTTCGCTAGAAAATTCCTGAAGGTTACATTCGAATCAAATTCTTACTGAAAAATCTTTCTAGTTTTCTACTTTTTGCCATAAGCTTTCTTGGTGGGATTCATCTCTTTCCCTACCATATTTTGCTGTTTTCTTTTAAAAGTTGGCAAGTAGGCAAGATCAACTGGACAATGAATACTTGAAGACTCAGAAAGATTTTAACCTTTGCTTAGGGAACTTCTGCTGAACAGTGTTCATGACAATATTTAAAACAGTAATTTTATTGACTATTAAAATGGAACTGGAAACTAAGGTCATCAGGAAATTAACTTTTATTCAGGCTTTAGCATGATGAGAATTTATATTTTGAGAAAAGACTGTTTACAAATAGTTATTTTTAAAAACTGTTTACTTTTTTGATTCTTTGTGTTAGTTTCCCCTCAAATTTTAACAGATTCCCATATTTAACTTATCTTAATCAGACTGCAGTAAGACAAAAAATAAACAGAATTTGGAGAATATTGACATCCTTGACATCAATTCACTCCACGAATCCAAGACAGTACTCAACTGAAGGCAAGGTAGTAACAGGAGGCAAGCACAAGCACAAGGAAGGCATTGGGGCATGGGTGCTGCTGTTTCTTCATCTGAGTACTGCTTCATGGCTGGTTCAGTTTGTAAAAATTCATCATATTGTGTACTATGATATGTATACTCTTCTGTTTATATATTATACTTCAACAAAAAGTTTAAAAAAATACAGTCCTGTTCTACCTGGGTAGCAGTTACTATCCAAGGGCTGAATATCCTCAGCCTGCAAAATTAGATATAGATCTAATATCCATGATTGTATAACTGCGATAAACCAGTACTAAGATTCCCCAACCTTTGAGACAGAAGACTCAATGAACCACTTACCATCTCTACCCCTTTCATTAACTTGGTCTAGGCCTCGTGTGCTATGGAAGAAATTCAGTATTATCAAGAATACTTTTTGGGATCGTAATGTAATGTTTTTTCCTTTGGTGTCATGAGTAAATTATATGAGATGCTATTACATTTTCCACAAGAGCATTTTAAGAAAACTGTTGAGAAACTAGTTGGTTTCTAAATTACACTTTGCAAATCACTGGCATAGTGAAAAAAAGGGGTGCTGGTTTGAAAGAAGACATGGACACCCATTACTTCATTCTATCTTTCTAATTCATTAGAGATATTCCTATCTTGCCTCTTTAGAGATATTTCCTACATGTAGGGTAAATATTCAGTGTTTTCTATGTGCCAGGGACTGAGGATAAGATGAAGCTGGTCTCTGCCTGTATCAAAGAATACCTAGCTAATTATCAAACCCACCTCCTCTTTTTCCCAGGTACACAGTTAAACTCTATTTCCCAGCCTTCCTACAGTTAGGGGAGGCATATGACTGAATTTACAGCTAGTGCAACAGAAGGCTTGGTCCATAAAAACCTCGCATGCCCTTTTTACCTGCTGGATTGACTGAGGTGAGCATGGCAACGCTGAAATGCAAGTGTAGAGGAGAGTGAAATCACAAGCTAGAAGGAGTCTCAGTCATTACTTGTGGAGGGCCAATGGCTAATCGTGACTAAGAAATAAACTCATTTCATGTTTCATGTTATACATTTCTGAGTTGGTTTGCTATGGCAACTGGCATTTATTAATACTGTCAACTTAAGGAACTGATTACCTTTTAAGGAGATACCTACCAACACACACAAAAACCACAATACAATTTCGTAAGTGCCACAACAAAATAATAAAACTTATATAAAAGTTGGAGGAGGGAGCAGTTAATCCTGTCCAGAAAGGGTTCTTGAAGTAAGAAACATGTGAGCTGGACTTTGGAGAATCAATAGGTAAGAATTTATCAGGACACCAAGTAGGGGGCAAGGGGCAATGCCTAGTATTGAGGAAGAAATAAAGGCACGAACACACATAATGTGCCTAGGAGTATTTGCATATGGAAAGTGTTTTTGTGAGGGGAGTTGTGGGAACTAAGTTATTCAATGTTGTATGAAAATAACTCCAATCCACTATAGTGAAAGTCATTAAAGATTTCAAGTGACACAGCATAGGAAGGGTTGACTGGGAAGAGGAGAGAGCCGGAGACAGGCAGATTAAGCAGGAAGTCGTGGTAGCAAACATGAAGAGGAAGGGACAGCACTGACAAATGTTTCTGATGTAAAAACCAACCTGACAAGATGTGGTGGGCAGGGGGTGGAGGGGTGGGAAAGGTGAGGAGCAGTTAAAAGTAATCCTGAAGCTTCTATCTTAGAAGAAGGAGTAAAGTCTTAAGTACTGAGGAAAGTAGATGATCTGAGATTAGAAAACAAATAGATTGTGGGGGAGAGAGGAGACCCATAATTAATTCAGTTTTAAAATTACTGTTTTTGAAACACTTTTTTGGATCCATCAGGTCATGGGGGATTATGAGAATGGCCTAAAACATATTTAATTTAGCTGTAGATCATCTTTTGGAAGTGAGAACATGGGAAAGCCCCGAAATGAATTGTTAGGTAGATCTCTAAACCACCTTAGGAGGAAATACGAATTTTTTTTTCAAGTAAATTTTACTTATTAAAAAAATGGGGCTGGGCACATTGGAGGCCAAGGCGAGAGGATTGCCTGAGCCCAGGGGGCGGGACCAGCCTGGGCAACTTGGTGAGACCTCGTCTCTACAGTAAATCACAAAAATTAGCCGGGTGTAGTGGTGTGCGTCTCTAGTTCCAGCTACTTGGAAGGCTGAGGTGGAAGGATCGCTTAAGCACAGCAGGTCGAGGCTGCAGGTGTCATGAGCATGCCACTGCACTCCAGCCTGGGTGACAGAGTGAGACTCCAGTTCAGAAAAAAAAAAAAAAAAAGGTAATCATATGATTCAAGCAAACAATTTAAAAAAAGTATATGGAATGAAAGTCTTTCTTTTCCCATTTCTCAAGCAACCTATTTTCTCCACCCCCCAGTAGGCAGTATTATGATTCCTTCTGTATCCTTCCTGATATATTCTTCACACATGCAAGCAAACATGCATAAACCTGTCTCCCCCCCTTTTATAATACATATACATAGACCCCTTGCACTCCCTGGGTAAGAGACATTTTACTTACTTTAGAGTAGCTCCCTCAGTCTTAATCACATCTCCATCTTTCAGATAAACATATTGTTGCTCTCCATTTTCTATAATTTCTTCTCTCTGAGGATTCCGTGGTAGTTTTTTAATGCAGTAGGTAGTGTCTATTCACAAAGCATATTAAGTCACTTTAAATGGTAATTCAGCCTTTTAAGAGATCAACTTTCATAGAGCTAACACTTGTGAATGACTGCATAAAATATTAACGCAAAGAGACAATAGATAATGGGATGAATTACAGCAGCTTATCTCTGGGATGTAACTATTTCATACATCTCAACAAAAGAGCTCTTTATTCTCTCATGCCCTTCTAGCTCTACATAAAAGTCTGTTTTTCCAGCCGCTCCCAGTTTATACAAAAATTTCAGAGTAGTTCTTCATAAACTCAGTCAGCTTTGACATCCTGACAGGTGTCAGAGGCAGTAATACAGAACCTGGGAAATTTTCCCTATCTAGCTGCTTAACATATAGTAGAGAAGTCACAGAAGTCGTTAAAAATAAGAGGATGACAGTATAAGGTCCTTGCTGTTAGTGCTGAAAGGGAGCCTCAAACCTGGGGCTAAGATATTAAACTTTTAAAATTTAAAGTTTAACCCAGAGTACCTCTCACTGCCACAAAGAAAGTCAGTTAATTAACCAATCAACAGCTGAGTGTCAATCATCTAACCAGCATACTATGCATGTGAATACAAGCAGTGTGAGTTAAAGTACTTAAAAGCTGTCATAGTCGGGAAAGTAAAACTTACAAACAGGATACAAAGAACTAGTCAGTATCATTGAATGCATACTAAATGGGCAATTCACCTAATAAAAGCAACACAGGTTCAGAGAAAGGAGAAACAGGAAAGGATTCATAAACATGACAGAACTTGAGGTGTGACTTACACGATAAGCAGAATGGGTGAGTATACAGAGAAGGACTTGTAGGTAAGGGGAACGGTATCAGTAAAGGCATGGAAATGAGAATGAGCATGGTGTATGTGCGACAACATAATGCTACCAGCTTGGCTGATGCAAACAAAATACTGGCTGGGAAGAGTGGAGTAAAGTTGGATAGGTAAGATGAACTTGGAGCAGGGAGGGCCCAAAACTGCCTTTCACAAAAGAGAAGAATTTAAACTTTACCATACGTGACCTCTGCACTCTCAGTAAGAGAATGAAATAGTGTTAACAGGCCGATCAGTATGGTGGCTGTGGGTGGGGAGAATTCAGAGGGGGAGATCAGAGAGACCAGGAAGGGATGACAGCAGTAACCCAGCCAGAGAGGAGTATATATTAGGGTTTGGGTGGTAGCACTGGAAATAGAGACAAAGACATCTGGAAGAAAAATTGACAAGGTATACAAATCTGGCTAGCATGGAGGATAAAGGAGATAGAAACACTGAAACAAAGATAAAATAAAACAAACAGCAGCAAACAGCATCTTCCCTCTGCAATCTCTAGCTCCATTATTCTGTATCTTAGGGCCAAAGCAAAACAATTATGTGCTTTTGTGAGAACTGACATTATGGACCAAGACTGCAACAATGAGGTTTTTTTTTGTTTGTTTGCATCTGTCTTTAATCTGCATAATTTTATCTTTCAGTAAAGAAGTAGAGACACTACATTTCTAGTTATGAGACCTTTGGTAGATGATCTTTCCAAAAAAATCCACAACTAACTCAAAATTACACAATAAATGTCACATTATAACTTTCTATCAGTTTCCAAAATTATGTACAAATACAAATAAAAACACATATCCTCTTCACAACAGCCATCTATAGGCAGGATGGAGAATGGTCTGCTGAAACCAATAACAATAATTACTCTTAATAACAGCATTATTGAGATATAATCCACATACTATAAAATCCACCCTTAAAAAGGACACAACTGTTTTTTGGTATATTCAAAGAATTGCATAACTATCAACCCTATCTAATTTTTAAAGTCCCCAAAAGAAACCCATACTTAATGATAGTCACTCCCTATTCTTTCTTTCCTTCCTTCCTTCCAGTAATCACTTTACTTTCTGTCTCTATCATACAATTATTTTAACAGGAACAGATGCTCAGTCATTTGTTAAGGTTTGAATAATGGATTACAACATCATTGGTAATGTTATATAATGATACAAACATGTGATATTGTTTATGTATAATAATTTCTAATGAAAACATTATAATTGAATAGCACAGAAGCAAACATTTGACTCCTAGGCCTCAGATTTAAAATACGAGATAAAGATCCAACCACAGTTGCAAAATAATTTTTAATTATCAGATAACAAAATGTATTTTATAAGATCTAACTAAAAGCAAACTATAACAAAACAGTTGAGCAGCCTGGGACTATACAGTTCTTACATCAAGTACAATTCTGGCTCCCCTAAGCCACTAGGAGTTCCCAAATTATACTCATCATTTAAAAACTTTGTAAGAATGCTGCTTTGAAGTTATTGTATCTTCTCATAGAAATCTTTTGTTGTTGTTGTTGTTGGAGTCTCACTCTGTTGCCCAGGCTGGAGTGCAGTGGCACGCTCATGGTCACCCCAGAGTCGACCTGCTGGGCTCTGGTAACCCTTCTATCTCATTCTTCTAAGCAGCCGGAACTACAGGTATGCACTACCATGCCCAGCTAATTTTTGATTTATTATAGAGATGAGGTCTCGCCAAGTTGCCCGGGCTGGTCTCGAACCCTCGGGCTTAGGCAATCCACTCGCCTCGGCCTCCCAAGGTGCTAGGATTACAGGCTGAGCCACCGTGCCCAGCCTCCTCATAGAAATCTTACAAAATGGCATTTACATTTTTGGCTTGGTCTATAAAAATATAGGATAGCAATGTAAAGTAGTTGAAAAGTTTCTACCATACCAATAATTAAAACAGTAAAACAGTATGGACCAACAATAGTAAAACAAAATGGAATAAAGAATGCTAATGATTTAAGGATTTAAAGAATGAAGAAATAACATGGAACTTCTGGAGAGAGTTGATTCTAGAAGGTACCTCTGTACAATTTCAATGCTGCAGTTTGTCTAGCTTTTAATAAAGTCCAGAATGAAAGACAAGCCACTTCTCAAAGTGTTAAAAATGTATTTATTTATTTATTGAGTTGGAGTTTCACTCTGTTGCCCAGGTTGGAGTGCAGTGGCACAGTCACGGCCACCGCAGTCTCGACCTGCTGGGCTCAGGGGATCCTTCCACCTCCAAGTAGCTGGAACTACAGGCACACACCACCATACCGGTTAATATTTTGATTTATTGTAGAGATGAGGTCTCAGCAAGTTGCCCAGGCTGGTCTTGAACCTGTGAGCTCATGCAGTTCTCTCGCCTCAGCCTCCCAAAGTGCTAGGATGGGCCACTGCACCTGGCTAGTGTTAAAATTTTAATGGCTATAAAAAGCAGTGCCAAATTTCTCCTTGATTTTCTTTAAATCAATTAAATAGGTAGTCTACTATACAAATATTTATAATTTTGTATGGAACCCAAAACTAATTTAATTTCTAATTTAAAGAAAGTGATTCAGATGCCCATTAACAGGTGAATGTATAAACAAATTGCGGCAAAATCATACAATGGGCTACTTTTGGCAATAAAAAGGAATAAAACTAAGAGAACATGAAACGTGGGTGAATCTCAAAAACATGACTCTGTGTGAAAGCAGTCACATACAGAGAGTGACTCTGTGTCTTTCCATTATGTGAAATTCTAGAGCAGGCAAAAATAATGTATCATGAAAGAAAGCAGATCAGTGGTTGATGTGGGGGGACATAACTACAGAGGGGCACGAGGGGACCTTTTTAGGGGGTAAAGTATCCCATATCTTGGCTGGAGTGATCACGTAGGCATTTACATTTGTTAAAACTCACCAAGCTGCACACTTAAAATGAGCATATCTTATGTATGTAAATTAAAGCTCAATAAAGTTGATTTATGAAGCAAAAAAGTGGGCCATAAATATTTTCATTTTTCAACTTTATCCTCTTGCTAAAATAGAGTTGACTAAGGTGACAAAGTCAATTAAGAAATCTCAGAATAGTTTTTTTTTTGAGTTGGAGTCTCACTCCATCACCCAGGCTGGAGCGTAGTGGTTAAGTACATTCAAGGCCACCTGCTAGGCTCCAGTGATCCTTCCGCCTCAGCCTTCCAAGTAACTGGAACTACAGGCACATGCTACCACACCCAGCTAGTTATTTGATTTATTGTAGAGATGAGGTTTCACCAAGTTGCCCAGGCTATTCTTGAACCCATGGGCTCAGGCAATCCTCTCACTTTGGCCTCCCAAAGTGCTGGGATTTCAGGCTTGAGCCACCGTGCCTGGCCTGGAATAGTTTTTAATAATTTTTATTTATTTTTATTTTTTGAGTTGGGGGTCTCACTATGTTGCCCAGGCTGGTTTTGAATACTTGGCCTCAAGCAATCCCCCCACCTTGGCCTCCCAAAGTTCTGGAATTATAGGCGTGTACCACCAAGCATGGCCTAGAATAGTTTCTTAATTAAAATTTAGCGGGTAGATAGATGAGAAGGGAAAGTGAGGAAAAGTCAGACAGAGATCATGAGTTTTGAGGCACACAGTCCCTTTAGATTAGAAGAAAGGAGGTAAGAGGGTAAGAAAGTTAGGTTGGAAAGTTTTTTATAACTGGTAGCCTGGTGATATTGAGTGTGGTAGCGGACACTATCTTGGTGTTCCAATTGTAGTCCAGGTTAAAAAATCAGATCCTTACAAATACTTAAAAATATTAGTGGAAAGCATATACACAGGCTTTTGTGCATAAATGTCGCTGACCTTCTTGCTGTGCCTTGAACTTGTCAACCACACTCCCATTCCAGCATCTATGCTTCTGAAAGCCTCCCTGCCTGGCAGGCCTTCTACCCAGGAGCTCCTTCCTTCTCCCTGTCCACCTTAGATACAAGAGCCCCTGCCTCCTCCACTTTACTTTCCCCTTTCTCTTCTCGTAGCTTTGTTTTTCTTCACAGCACCCATCAACAACTGATCTATCATGTACTTACCATTTACCTTCCCTAATAGAATGAAAGCTCCAGGAAAAGAATCTATTTTGTTTACGGCTATATCCCTTGTGCCAAGAACAGTGCCTGACATATAGTAGTCACTTGACTACTTGTTAAATGAATGAATAAGTGAATCAGGTCCATGGTGGTGGGATGAAGGAATGGAAGAGAGATGGTAAAATGTTAGTAATGAAGTGGTTTCAAGGACACTGCATTTTCAATACAATATTTTGCCTGAATCTCAGTACATCTTAGTAATTGCCTGAAAGTTATGGAAGGGCTGAGATCATCTGTTTAGAATGTGGACAATAATAGCACCTACTTCATATCATCCACTAAAGTGTTTATTTAGCGCAGTGCCTGGTACAGAGTAGAGGCTCAACAATTGAAAGTGTTAAATCTGAGGTAGTAATTGTCATGTAGACTAAATTAAAACTGACAGAGAAAAGGGAAAAAAAAGATTTGAAACAGAAAACAGGAATTTTCCTTTCCCCCTTTGTAAAAATTAAGGACAGTATTCAATAGTCACGTCAATTTCTAAAAGCACCATTTAAATATAAGGTATTTAGTGAAAGGTTTATAGACTATTTTAGCTCTGTAACCAAAATAAATTATTCTCTAAACGTGGCTTTCCTCAATGAGCTAATGAATGGTTTCTGTTTACCATTATTGATGCTTTTACAAATATCTCCTATGCCTCCAGAATGATCCTGGTGCCAGTGAGTCACTATGATTTCCTGGATTGCTGTGTTAAATTCAGTTAGAGCCTGCTTTAAACAGCTGATATATTCTGGAATTGCTGGCTCTCCAGTATCAATGAGGACTCTCCTGAAAATTAAATGAAAGATAGTCATACAACTGAAACAGAGTTAATATTAGCATATTTCTCACACAGATAAATTAAATAAAAGAAAATTCATTATTGTTTCCAACATTTTCTGAACTAGCTATATGTCACTTCAGCTTAACTATAGTAATCTCACCATAAGAACATTTTTTTGGAAAAAATTATGTCTTAACAAGGAATACTAGCAGTAATCTTGAATACTTATATAGCAATTAAAATAAACATGGCACTGTTCCAAGGACTGCGCATTTTTAACAATTGTATTTCTCATAAAAACTGTTTAAGGTAGATATTTCATTGTTATACTCAGAAATTAGGTAACCTGTCCAAGGTTGCTCTGTAAACAAATGGCAGAAGCAGCTTTCACGTCCAGGTATCTTGGTGCCAGAATATGTGCTCTTACCTACTCTGTCTTCGAGATCTCATATCTCAATATATCTCAAATGTTTCATAGGTATGAAAGAATTTGGTTCAATGGTATCCCTAAAGAAATCTAGTTTTTGGGAATAGATATGTAACTTACCACTGAAGTTTTACACTGGCACCCTTGCACATGAAAATCAAGGCTATAGGGAAACACAGGGGAAATGCCTGAGCTATTTTCTTTCTTTAGACAACCTTATCAGCTATATATTTTTTGCTTGTGGTTTTGAATCTTCCTTATACTTTGTCCTTCTTCATTGCTTTATGGGATGGACTTTCTCTATGAAGTTTTTCTGAACTAAAGACATTATGGTGACATTTTCCTCAAGAACCAATTCACAAACTTGTTTTATTTATTTAAGCTTTTATTTTATTATAGAGATGTGGGGTATAAGTAAGGGTTAACTACACAAGTAGGCTGCTTGCAGGCCAAGTCTGGGCCTCCAACCGGCCCTCGCTTTCCCTGGTTTAGGACCAGGTACCCTTACAAGCTTAATTCGTCCTATTCCACAGTAACACCTCATTAATTCAGGCTGAATGAGTGAAGATTAGTCTTGATAAAAAGTCAGAGTCATTCATTCATTCATCAGTAACTGTTTATGAATTATCTACTATGCAACATGCCTTTATTTTTTGCAGCAAGCACGACACAAAAACCCTAACATTCTAGTGTTGGGTGGGAAGGGGGAACTGTGAATGATGAAAAGTAACAGTAGAAAGCATTTTGCAGAGCACTAAAATTGGGTACATATGATAGTAAGTAACTGAATGGCTCATTATATTGGATTTTTTTCCCCCCAACCCTACTTCCAGAGAGCTATAGCCAATAAAAACAAACTGGGCTTCCACAGGGGGGAGGGCAATGGCCTTATGGCCCGATGGCCTCTATCTACCCCTAAATTCCATAGAACAGCGATCTACTCCAGCACCATGTTGAACTGTCCATTCTGGAGACAGTGGTCCAAAGGAGCATTCATTATAGGGTCCTAATGACAGTGGAACAGTAAGGAACAGAGGGCTTAAAGAACATTTAGAAGGCACAATCAAAAGGGGTTTTTTTTTTTTTAAACAATTGGATTTGGAAGGGAAAGCATTGATGATTCTGAGGTTTCCAGGCAGGATGACAAATGTGCCATTAACTGAGATGGTAAACACTGGAGGCAGCAAATTTGAGATGTTTGATTTGGGTCACAATGAATTTTGATGGCATTCCTAACCCTCTTCCTTAATTTTTCTCCATAGCTATTATTACCATGAAACATAACATAAATTTATATGTTTATTTATTTATTACCTATCTTCACACCCCCTACTACCTATGAATTTGAAACCCGTGAGGGCACGAACCTTGTCTTGTTTGGTTCAAGGAGCTTACTTCCACATCTACAATACATTGTGCCATGCTTGGCACTGTATACACTCAGTCACACCAAATTAAAAATACATAAAACTATATAAAATTGTGATACTTCCAATAATACTCTCTAGCCCACTATCTTAATTGTAGTTACTTATTACAAATTCTTGCCCTCCCTTAATTAGTGTTACTCAGACTATTTGGGGTTTTCTGGAAAAGAATCCTTCCATGCTTCAGATCATGACTTCTCAAATGCTTCAAACCATTAAGAACCCCACCCCCATTTTATCTTGAGTTGGAGACTCACTCTGTTGCCCAGACTGGAGTGCAGTGGCCGCTCCCGGCCACCGCAGCCTCGACCTGCTGGGCTCCGGCGATCCTGCCGCCTCAGCCTCCCAGGTGGCTGGAACAACAGGCACATGCCACTATGCCTGGCTAAATTTTTTGGTTTACTGCAGAGATGAGATCTCATCATGTTGCTCATGCTGGTCTTGAACTCCTGGGATCAAGTAAGTAATCCTCTCACCTAGACCTCTCAAAATGCTGGGATTAAAGGTGTGAACCACCGGCTAACTTTTTGACATTTTGCATAGATAAGGTTTCATTATGTTGCCTAGGTTGGTTTTGAACTCTTGGGCTCAAGCATCCTCTCACCTCAGCCTCCCAAAGTGATGGGATTACAGGTATTAGTTTGCCTGGCCAGACTCCTGTATTTTTAATAAAAGACCAGATATCATTCTGATTAAAAGTCATGACAAAATTAACAGGGTTTATATGCAGATTTGATAAAATCTAGTAGCAAAAAGATCTTTTAAAATGTCTGTTCCGTTATTTGAGGTGAAAATGTGAGTGATCAGAGGCCTCTGGCACTAGAGAACATGGTTTCTGGACCTCCATTTTTAGGTCTCCTAACGGTCCTGTCTTGGTCTAACAAAATTGATATTAGCACAGGAAGGACCCTCAAAGCAAGGAAAACAGAACTTTCACAAGTCTTGAAATAAACACAATTTATTCAGAACAAAGGAGGGGTGTCTAAATGCTATAAAACCTAAAAAATGAGCTGGGCATGGCGGTGCGCACCTGTAGTTCCAGTTACTCTGGAGGTGGAGACAAGAGGATATCTGGAGCCTAGAAGTTTGAAGTTGCAGTGAGCTATGATCTGGCCACTACATTCCAGCAGAGCAAGACTGCTTAAAAAAAATTCTAGAAGGATTGCCTGAGTCCAGCAGGTTGATGCTGGGGTAGCCGTGAGCATACCACTGCACTCTAGCCTGGGCAATGGAGTGAGACTCCAAGTAGGAAAAAAAAATCTAAAAAGTATGTTTGTAGCCGGGCTCGGTGGCTCAGCCTGTAATCCCGCGCCTTTGGGAGGCTGAGGTGAGTGGATTGCCTGAGCCCGCGGGTGCGAGACCCGCCTGGGCAGCGAGACCTCATCTCTACAATAAATCAAAAAATCAGCCGGGCGTGGTAGCACATGCCTGTAATTCTGACTACTCGGAAGGCTGAGGTGGAAGGATCGCCGGAGCCCAGCAGGTCGAGGCTGCGATGGCCGGGACCGGCCACTGCACTCCAGTCTGGGCGACAGAGTGAGACTCCAACTCAAAAAAAAAGAAGTTTGTGCATGTTTATTGCAGCACTATTCACAATAGCAAAAACATAGAACCAACCGTACTGCTCATCAAAAGTGAACTGGATTAAAAAAAACATGGTACATATACAGATGAAATACTCTGCAGCTACAAAGAAAGACAAAATTTTGGATTCTCAGCAACTTGAATGGATTTAGAGTCTATCATACTCAATGATCTAGCACAGAAACAAAGAACTGAATACCACATGTTCTCACTCATAAGTGGGTCCTGAACATTTATTACAATACTACAAGAGAGGAATCGGCAGGAGAAGGACACTGCCGGGGGAGGGGGGAGGGGAGGGGAGGGGAGGGCGGAGGGCCCAAACATCACCTATATGGAAAGAAAACTAGTCTTCAGAAAGGCTAAGTGATTTGCTCCAAGTCATATAACCAGCAAGAGGCAGCGCTAGGAAGCACCAGATGTTCAGACATAAGTGCAATGACTTCTCCATTGAAAACATTGCCTTTCTGGTGGAAGGGGGTTGCTTAGGTAAGCGCCTAGAATCATTCTTTATGTAGCATAAATAAGACTTTAGCTATAAGTTAGAAAAAAAATTCTCAGTTTTCTCCTTAACAAAGTTATTCTATCAATAACATCTGTGAATAGTTATTGTAGATGATTATATAGTATCATCTCTGCGTGAGCCATTTATTTGATTTTGTTCTTCATTTCCACGATAATATCCCTATCTCAGGAAATCCTTCTGTAAATACAAGTTATGCAAATAAAGGGCTCAAGAGAAGAGTGCAAATTAATCAGTACAAGTCTATGATGGACTTATTCACTAGTGCACAGTGCTTGGCACATATAGGCACACAATAACAATTTGCTACAAGAATGGAGAAACAATTCTTTAGTTGATGGAAAAATAGTGGAATCAAATACCTCTCCATAGGAATTTTATATCAATATTAAGACAGCAATTAACTGGTCTTTATTTCTTGTTACTCTTACAAAATCATTCGATATTTTTTGAGTACCTACTATGAACTCAGGGTTGTCTAGTTGTTATGAGGAAAGCAGAAGTGATCAAATCAGAGCTAACATATGTTTTCCATATGCTAGAACTTTAATGTTTTTGATATATGCTTTCTCATTTAAATTTCATTGAATCCTTGTAACATCCCTATGAAGTAGGTACAATACAACCCCACTGTATAGGTAAGGAATCTGAAGCATGGAAAGAGAACTGTCTTGTCCAAAGAAATATGGCCAGTAAGTAGAGCCAGGATTCTAATCTAGGTAACCAGAGTTCATAGTTTTAACTCTACTAGACTGCCTTTTCCTATTATAACATGCACTATCTACCTTCAAGGTATATACAATTTTGATAGAAAAGGTTAAAATTGCAGTTTTATAGGTTCCTGAGTAGGAGAGGAAAGTAAAAATACTTTGGACAAACTGGCTGTTATTTGTTGGTTCAAATGCTTATTGAATATCTCTGTACTGAGTAAGCATCACAGTTAGGTCTTATAATGCTTTGGTGAAGTTCGTTCGGCATCCATGGGCTGATCAGATAAAGAAAGATGACCAGGTAAAACTGCAATTATCTAGCAATCCCAGAATCATAATAGTGAAAATTAAGAGTAAACACAGAATATTCATTCTTTCAGCAAATATTTACTGTATTACTTGTGTGGTATGCAAAGCTCTGTGCTAGGTGCTGGGGATATAGTAATGAATATGCCTTCGTTGAACTTATGTGCTGGTGGGTCATGAAGGTGTGGAAAGGCATTTAAGCTCCTTGCACACATGAAAAATCATTTTATTATTGCTGAGATAACGGCCATGAAAAATATGGAGTGCCAAGACCACATATAACACGGGTCAGGGGTCAGGGAAGACTGCCATGAGGAAATGATACTTCAACTGCGCTCTAAAGGATAAGTGAGGTTAGCTGTGTAAGAAGGGAGGAATGAGTGGACACAGAGAGGAAAGCATGTATAAAAGCTTGAGGCAGAAATGATACAACTCATCCCAGTCATAAGGCCAGCACGGTTGGAATGGGAGAGAGGTTTGAGCAGAGGCTAATGAGGTAGATGGAGGTTAGAAAATACAGGCTTTCTAATTTTTTTTTTTTTTTGAGTCAGTCTTATTCTGTCATCCAGACTGGAGTGCCAGTGGCATGATCACAGCTCGCCATAACCTTGACCTCCTGGATTCAGGCGATCCTTCTGCCTCAGCCTCCCGGGTAGCTAGGACTACAGGTACATACCCCCATGCCTGGCTAATTTTTAAATTTTTTTTTTTTTTGAGATAAGGTCTTGCTATCTTGTCTAGGTTGGTCTCAAATTCCTGGGCTCAAGTATTCCTCTTGCCCTGGCCTTCCAAAGTGCTAGGATTACAGGCATGAATCATTGTACCTGGTCCCCAATTTCATTTTTAAAAATTACTCTGACTACTTGGAGGAACTTGAAGAGAGACATAAGCAGATGCGGAAAAATCAGTTAGGAGGCTATTATAGAAGCCTAAGTAAGAATTGTATTGGCTTGGACTCGGTGACAGTAGGGGATATGAAGAGATCTTCATGTTTTAGATATGTGATAGGAAGAAATGCCAAGCAGAGTATTTAGGTATTTCCTTTGATCAACTGTGGGGATGGGTTTGTTTACAAGATATAGATGACTGGAGGAGAACCTGGTTTAATTTCCTGGGAAAGCCCATGAGTTCGGCTTGGGAAACAATCAAGTTTCAAATGGGAGGCCATGAATCTGATTCTCCCTCAGTCAGCTTCAGATCCTTTAAGTCTCTTTTAGCACAAACATTTTGCTATGCTGAGTGTGATTTTAGTGTTTAAAGATATAGTATATATTTTTCATACAACATGGCCCCTAAATGCAAGCCAACTTCTTCATCTGGTTTTCAAACAGAATCAGCCATCTGTTTCAACGCTGGAAGAAAAGCAGGTTGTGCTGAACTTAACGGAGACAAGTACACTGATCTCTAACATGGTGTTCTCCTAAGAGACTTTCTAGGGAAATTAGGACTCCATGCATTTTTCAACTGAATCATGACTTTGGAACTAGTTTAAGATGACGCACTGAAGAGAGAATGCCTATGAACTTAATTTACTTGGTTGAAGGAGTTCCAGCCAAGACAGACTGTACCCTAGATATCTGGGATATTTTCTGCTTCATTCTCTCTTCTCCTACATTCTGAAGGCAGCCTAAAGCTCTTGTACTTACCTGACCCTGCCTGGTTTACTCTAGACTTAACCTTTCACCAGTGTGAATTGCAGTATTTCCGTTCCCTCCTGTTCTGCTGCTTCTAATATTCTTACCGAAAAAACATGAATATGGTACATACTTCCAATAAAAACTCAATGACTTATGCTTATTGTTTTTACATTCTACCCTCAAGAGGAACTATATCTCATTTTGATTTTGCATTATCTAGGTTACCTAATAAAAACTACAGAAGTTGCTCAATGACTTAAGACATACTGCACAGTAAACCAAACCTCCCATTTCTGGTTAACCCTCCGCAAACAGAATGCAGCTCAACAAGAGGAGAAGTATCTTCTTAGAGATACACAGACTTTACTCGGTCTGCAAAATAACCCAAACAAAGTCACACACAATTGTAACAAGAAGTAACATTAGTTACTGTCAGATCTTCGTTGCCACAGGCTGGGAGGTGGGGTGGAGGAGGGCTCTTTCCGGTTTTACAGGCTCTAGCAATTTGGAAGCCAAGAAAATCCTGCCCTCTGCTGCCGAGTGAAGGAAACGGCCTCAGCACAATTCATCGCTTTAGGGAAGGGAAGTTACATTCCGGGCAAAACACCAGAAAAAGTCAAGTGAGCAAAGTAAACGCTTTCTTGCATTCCTAATTCTCAGAGATCCTAATCTTCTCAACAGTTTAAACATGCTCGTCGTGGCATTCAAACATCGAGAAAAGTAAAGTGGATTTCAATCAATATTTTTTTTCCCTTTCCATTTTTTCCCCTCTTCTATTAGGGCGTTACCTCCGGGGTGGGCATAATTTAGCTGAACTTCGGGATTAGAGCGTCAGCATACGGTCCTGAGCGGGGCTGCCCGGCCCGGGGCAGAACGCCGCGAACCCAGCTCCCAGGACTCAGCTGCGGCCACGGCTCCGCGGGTCTCCCGGGCGGGTGTTCATGTTGTGGGGGAGGGGAGGGACGTTTACCTGGAGCCGGTCCCCACTAGGTAGGTGTTGGTGCCCTGAAGGGTCATGGGACCCGGGTTACAGCCCAACACACGCACCACTCGACTGGACAACCGCTCGATGCGCTGCAGAGTGGCAGCCATCTCCGTCTTGTCACCCTGCGGGCGCGTTGCGTACCGACTACTCGAGCGCAACTAGCAAGCAGGTCGCAGAGGCCCGAGCCCCGGTCACGTGACGCAGAGCGAGCCGGGAACGACGGGATCGGCCGCTGGGCCAGGGGCGGGATTTACGTCACGTGGTACAGCTACCCGGGGCGGGGCCAGAGGTCACGTGACTCCGCTCCTGGCTCAGGCAGCGGCAGCAAGGCTCGTGCGTGGTGTGAGGCAGAGTGAGGCCAGGCCGGAGACCGGCGAGGCTCTTTGCCGGAGCCTCGCGCTTTATTGGGTTTGTGTCCCTGCAGGCGAGTGCATCCTGGCCAAAAGACTTTTAAACCTGGAAGTCTTGTGATGGAGCAATGGGCAGGCGGTTTTGAGGTTAGTTTAGCACTAAATCGCAGGAAGGATTGCCCGCCAGTTTTTAGGCAATGGTGAGGGCTGGGGGTGGGGGGAGAGGAAAGAGCCTGTTTATCTTTTATAATAAATAGTGGTGACTGGTGTTTACTTAGTACTCACTGCTATGCTAAGTGCTTTCTACAAGCATCTCATTTAAGCCTCAAAACAGCATTAGGAGGCAGACACTATTTGCGTCTCCATTTTACAAATCAAACATGGAGGTTGGGAGACAGCTCGGCTGACATCTGGAGCCTTCTTCCTACTTGTCTTGCTCCAGCACTGGAACCACTTGGGGAGATTCAAGGCGCTAGCCTCTGTCTCCCAGTGCTACAACTTGCCCGGTAAATAGGTGGCCTTGAGTTTTATGCCCAAAGTGGACAGGACTTATTTTCCCTGTCAAGAAATTACCTGTTCTCATCAGCAGGGTATTAACTACTACTTTTTCCTTAAAAAGTAAAGCTATAAGTTACCCAAAAGACAAATCCACAGATCCTGTAATTAGTTCCATTGAGTTATGAAAATTGTATGTACAAGCACCAGGCCCATCACTGTGTGCTTGCATCCAGTTGTGATGAGCCTATGCACATCAAGTTGGTGAATGTTGGGAGCCAGCCGTGGAGGCCTGCCTGAGCGTTAGGGATCCAGGCAGGCTGGTTTCAAGACTGAAGGCCCATTCCCTCCTCCTTTCCTTGTTGTTTGCATTACCCACTAGTAGGGATTTTAACGATCTAACCATGAGTTCTGAGAATATGACAGGCATGGCTGACTCTAGGGATCCTTTGTTCCCG